ATGCTCTACAACTTTTCATGGCCTTTAACTTTTTTGGTTGCAATTTTATGCGGTGCATCCAAATTGCATGCCATCTCTTAGATGAAAACATTTTCACTGGAGGAACAGGATTTTGTTACATTACAATAAAATATATAAATATCGTAGAAGGTGACACAGTGAATAATAATCATTAAATAAAACTATTTTATTTTTCATTGACAACAAAGGACATTAGTTAAATAAAACTATTGTAGTTTAGGGTAATCAAGTAAGTGTGATTTACATGTGTACATAGTATTTCAGATAAATAATATTATTTTTAAATTTGGTGGATTTTTTTTTGACATATTACAACTTAACTATACAATATACATAATAATTCATAATAATAAAATATGTCAATATGGAAAATATATACATATATTTTTGTTATTTTCAATCAACATATATTCAACTTGTGGTTTCCTGATCACACTACGTTAACGTTCCAAGACGGACTAATATTATAAGACACAGAAAAATACACATGTGATATCTCCTTTTGATCTAAATTATATAATTATTATTATTACTATTATTTATGGTCATAGCGGCGTACCTTTATACCTTTCTTAACCTAATATTATTTCAGATCAATATTGTATATTAATGCTTATAAATTTGACAGCTTCATACACTTAAGTGACCGATACATATGTCTATGTCTGTGAAACAGACCACAATACACTATATTACTAATATATAGATTGGATGCAGCCAATTTATTATGGTAAAAATGGATTACTTATAATTTTCATGGGGCTTCATTTGAGGCCAGATTGGCGCAGTTGACTACGACTCACACAGTCATCGGCTCAATTCATAGCATAGTGCAAAATAAATTTGAGTGGTTCTACGTGATCACCCTTTCCTCCTGTTGTCGTCCGATTGAGTCATCCGGTTTCCAACTAGGTCCCACTCCACTGGGAGTGAATACCGCACATGCCTCCCCTTGCAGGAGAAGGGGGTAGTATCATGCATATAGTGATATATACATAGATAAATAGATCATATGATCTCTCTTCTACCCATTTGTGATAAGCATTGACGAAGACCTAGAGGTCGTTTCAATGAACAAATAAAAAAATAAAATACTTATAATTTTCATAAGATTTAAAAAAATATATCCCTTTAAGAAAATGTCTATACTATTTTTTATTACTTGTTTCTTTTTCCTTGTTTTTTTCTTATTTTTTTTATTTTTAATCTTAGTATTGTAATACAAAATTAATACATTTTAATAAAACTTTCATTTTGAGAACAATATAACAAAATAAATATAATACGCTTATATCAATTAAAAATATATTTGTTTTTTGGTTCAATTCTATTGAGTTTATTATAGAATATCCACTGATGGAAGTATAATATAAGTTGTTCACAATTGCCAAGTGATAAGCACATTTTAACAATAATTAATTGTGAGTTTATAAGAAATAATCCAGTTTGTATTAACCAGTAGTGTTATTTGGTTATGTTTGTGGGGAGGGGATATTGAAACATATTTTTCTAAAACATTTGGCTTATATCATAAGCACCTCTCAGCAGTGGCAGCTCGTGTATGTGTGCACAAGTGCATGTGCACTACCTACCCAAACTCAAGAAAAATTGAAAACATAAATCATAATAATGCAACTAATTACTTATAGTGTTATTACTTATTAATATTATTTTTAAAAATAAAAAAACATTAATTCAGAATATTATGAATATAATATAATATTTCGATGGCCAAATAGCCGCAGGGTTGTCCGCGACGGAACGGTATTGGTGTGTATTATTATAGTGGTGCAGTAGTACACACAATCGCTGTGCATATTTGTATAGTGTAAAAATTATAAAAAATCGAAACACGCAACCTGCATTATAATGGAATTGATCTGCACATTCGTTTCTGAGCACATAACCAATTAAATTGTTTTCAGCTAATTATTTTTGATGTCGCCGAGCCGTAGTCGGCATAGGCATAGGCATTATAATTTATTTTTACTCTCATTCGTTTATTATATTCCGATTATCAGCTGATAATGTAAGTCAATCATTATTGGAAATTCAAAACAACAATTGTGTTTCTGTTTAAAAATATAAACAAAATTAAAGCTAATTGATGAATAACTGAAATTTGTAAACAATTATTTAATACAGTTTATAATATAATATTTATCTGGGGGACGAGGTGGCCGAGCGGTCTAACGCGTCGTCTGCGGCGCTGGCAGTCGCGGGTTCGACTCCCGGCCACTGGGCGGCATTTTTCTCCGGGCAAGTCACGGTGTCCGGAAAACAAGTGCCGCCATCCCCCACTCCGGGGCATGGCAGAAACCTACGGGTGCCCCATTCAAAATTCTGCCAAAATACACCCACGTGTAATACCCCCTACCGTTAAATAACCTACAGTACCAACCCCTCTCCCAATGGCCTAAGTTGCCGCGGGATAAAATTAATAAAAAAAAAAAAAAAAAAAAAAAAAAATATTTATCTATATACAATATACATATATATACACACAATATTGGTTATATTTTTTTTGGATGTGCACCACTTTATTAAAAACCCACGAGCCACCTCTGCCTCTCAGTAAAACTATTGTAATCTGTAAAATGTAGAACGTGTACAAATGCAAGATCATTAGATCACATTAAATTAAATAACCACATAATATTTAAATATTCACATTCACAAATTATAGGTATTATACTTTAATGATACCTACTATAGTACTTTCTAGATATAGTTCAACAACAGTTTCATAACATTGCAATGTTATTATACTATCATTATGTTATATTATTTGATAATTGATTTGTATAAAACATGTTTTATACAGTGTTGGAGCATCGCTCCGTGATATAATAATATTCAACAGCTCTGTGGTTTATTTTTGTACCACAGTATTATATATTTGTGCAATAGACATTAGTGTTTATGACAAAGTAAGGCTAGCATAGGGGATTTGGGGTTTTTTGTATTACTTCTATAAAAAAAAATATTTATAATTAAATAAGTACATAAATGTGGTTTACCAATTTTGAAAAAAGTCATGGGGAGGGGATATAATACCCAAAATCTCACCTTTAATTTTGATATGATACCAATATTAAAAAAACTTTATGATTTATTTATTAAGTGTCTATTGCAAGCGTTGCATCAAAGGTAAGATATATTCCTAAGATGAGGTGTTTGGGTATGAACCATACAAATATAGGTAATAACTTGTTTAACTTTTCTATATTATAGATTTAGGATTATTGTTTTATTTGATACAACGTTTATTAATTAGAATTTCCAACCAAGAAATGTAATATATTTTAGCTATATATTGTTAACTATTTATGTGTAGGTTTTTTTCAAAAAATTTAATTTTTATACTTGTAGTAAATTACATTATCAAATGGGTACAATAATAAATATCTTAGGCTAGCAAAAAAAAAAACTGATTCTACAATAAAACTTTACAAATCACCATTCACCATTAATGAACTCTCGTTAATATCAGAAAAGTATGGTATCTTACAAACACTTTTAATTATTTAATATAAGTATATAACTTAATATTAATGACAATTACAAGAATAATTAAGAAATACTGTTAGCTTAAATAATAATAAACATTTAAATTAAATGTCAATTATATAAGCTAAGTAATTATTACAGTATAACATTATACATATTTAACAAAAAAAAATAAAATTGTATAAAAAAATCAATTATAATATATGTACAGTCGATTCCTGATAACTCAAATCCCAAAGGAGATAAAAAAATAAATTGGACACATTAACATATATTAAAACTTTGAGTTATCACGACTCGGCTGTAGTAGAAATAAGATAACTATTGTAAATATTAATATTATGAACAACAATAATATGTAAGTCTTTTTGTACATATAATTCACATAATGCTCCTATCAACAATTTGTGTAATAATAATAATTGTACTTGATTTTTTTTTACATAATACAGAAATATGATACTCAGTAAATAATTGACAATTTTCTTACCAAATAGGTAAGTAGGTATGTTAATTGTAATGATATACTTAATTTTAATTAAGTTATTAAGTTTAACATTATTATTTGCATTGATTTTTATAGGTAGTTAACATAACAGTTGAATGATATAACATAAATATAATAGGAGCTTAATTATAATTAGAACTTATACAAACTTTAAAGAAAAATAATAAACAACAATATTATAATATAAGATATAATTTTCAAAAAAATTATCTATTAATCAGTGCTTGAATTTGGAATGATAAAGTAGTGAAACTCAGTCCGACAATTTAAAAACTGCGTCCCAAGTGCAAAGTTATTTAACACATGTTCGTGGGGAGTTTTGTTAATATGTTAATACATTTTACAGATTTTTATATTTATTTCATTATGTAGTTGATTACAAAACTTATATTTATAATAATAATAGTACATAATGGTAAATGGGATTGAGTCTTAACAATAGTAAATGGTGATTTATAAATTAATGCTTATTTAACCAGTGCATTAAATAATCAAAAAATTGTTTATTCTGAACTGAAGTTTAACATCGAGAACTACGTGGAGATATGAGTGAAAGCTTAATTTGAAAAAAAAAACAAAGTTTAAATTAATATTTATATTGGTTTAAGCGTCAATTACACTGAGCGAATTTACTCGCTAATCGCTGGCAAATTAACTCGCTTCATGTAATCGGTCTAGTCGCTTACTCACCGCATGCTAAATACTCGCTGCTTGCCCACGATTAAAGTCGACAGACGGCTACTTAAGTCGCTAAATGCTGGTGTTTTTACACTCCAGCGAGTAATCGCCTTAGCTGGAAAAATTGCTAGTGCGCCAGCAACAAGTGACTGGTAGCGAGCAAGCGAATTTAATCACTCAATGTAATTAGACAGGTCGCTACACTCACTCGCGCGACTTTGTTTGTCAACGACTAGCGAGTAAATTCGCTCAGTGTAATCGATGCTTTAGGCATAATGCATAGTTAACTTATACTCACATGATTTGAGCAAAACTGTACGTACTTCAGGGCATGCTTATCATCGATGGGGAACAGATAAAACATGTGGGCAAACAAATTGTTAATGCGATCAAACAACATCAAGAGAAATAATTTTGTATGTTGATCGTTCCAGTTTTCTCTCTATAATTTTCAATAATTACAATTAATTATAACTCCATGGGCGAATATGAAAATGGCAGCCTTACTGTTATTATCACAAGACATTTATGAAATATGTCTAATTCGAATTCAATATGTTTGTACAGCTCATCTTGGGTACAGCAGCCAATCATGAGTGTATGGTTTATGAACTCACGGTCGTCGTCTAACTTTCTTAAATTGCAAGAAACACAATTATTAGGATTTGAAAAATTAAAAAGGGTCTCATGAAAAAATTGAACTTACTTGGATTCCTCCAATGTCATGATGCTGTTGGAGAGATAAAATCTAGTTTCGGCGTTTATGCTCATGATCTTGGTAGTAACGAAATGTTTGTAAATCGTCTAAACCAATATAATACGACTCGCACAGCTCGATCGAAAAACTCCAAATTACAAATCACGTTTCAGTGAATGGTTTGAACACAAATAACATTACTAGTATTGCAGGTGGCAGACGACCACAAGACGGGGGACAGACGAGATAAAAATGTCAAATAGTGTCACATCACAGTTCACGAGTCTATGAGACAAATTACAATATGTAATATGTATTATTTAATACATAATAATATTTATTATATCGTGATATCTGTGGCTACAACTTTTAAATTACCTGTTGATGGCGAGCCACGGCTATACTGCTAAGCAGTAGTAGTGATTACTGTTAACATGTAGGTATATCCGTGGTTACGGTGGCGACAGCGTCGGCGGCGTCGGCATCAGCAGCGTACAGTGTTGCACAAAACGGAATGAAAACAATAAACTGGCAACAACGCAACCAAAAATTGTCGGGGCTGACCGCCAGACGCCACTACCAAAGACCTATAACTATAAACTAAAATGGACTGTGTATCCACTCCGCCCTGCCATCAATGCCCGGGAATCATATAAGAGAAAGAAAGAAGAAAGATCGAAGACAGAAAGTATATAAAGTAGTAATCATAGACATAGACCTATAAAAAAGTAACACTGCAGTTCCTCAATAGATAATAAAGATATGGATAGGCCACGCATATGTTAAATATATTTGAGGCCGCGTTCCCGAAGGGGAGGCAATTGAGGCTCCTTTATCTATAGCCGTGAGGCGATACACTGGTACAGGGCCCGTATCACCAATTTCCTCCCACCATACGTTACCATCCTCTCCGCGGATCAATTCATGTTATAAACGTGATTTATTTTATTTTATACAACTTCTGTGATTTTTATATTTATGTTCCTTTGCGTTTCGATCTCGCGTCTCCCATTTTCGACGCCATGTCACTCGTCCCGCGACGGGTACGACGCGACCGACCGACCGGCGACCGGCCAGCGTTCTCTTTGCTTACAGCCCTAGATCGAGCCACACGTTCCGAATGATACTCGATCTCGCCCGACGCCATGCTTCCCCGTCAACCCGTGGGCCGTGTTTCGACTATATGTCATATGACCTGAAGAGGCACATCCTCGTACACGTACACATCCGCTCGTCCCGACCGCCGAAATCATGTTCCAACGACGCCCTCGTCTCTCCGACGTAACCGAACGCTCCCTCGATCGCCCTTGCAACTAGCACCCCCTATCCCGTCAACCCGAAACCGACCATGCGGCCGCTCGACCAATGTACTTACTTATTCGTACTGCGTACGATCATGCGCTTTTTACTTTTGGTACAATAAATATTCTCGACGCAACGCGTCACAAATAAACAGTGTGTTATTATTTTTCTACCTACCTAAAACCTGTGTACCTATACCTTCTGCAACGGAGTCAAGATTCAAGCGTATGCTTGACAGTGCGGGGTGTCCCCCCCCCCTACAACACCTACGTACACGACGACCGGCATCCCGCACTTGTACCAGTACCACAGCCGTGATTGATAGTCGATACTCGTTATAGACATACTTTATTTGACCTCGATTGTTCCCTACCAAGGCCTTTGATAAGACCATTATGTCCTATCCATATCTTTATTATCTATGATTTCCCCCCACGTTATCTTTTCTCCTTTACTCTATATCAGTCGTGGTATCCATTATCCAACCTTTTGTGAAGACCGGGCCACATCATAAGGGCAGAAGTTGTTGTGAGCCACATACTTTTTAATAATAATACATTCAAATTGAATGATTAAATTATATTCTATATTAGAACAATACATTTAATTTTACCATAGCGAATAATAAGCAGAAATATTTTTGTTGATAAATGACATATTGCTATCGGAGCCAATATATTTTAATGTTTAATATTTTGTAGTTTTATATTTTTAAAATACATTTTTTTCGTAATATTAATTTATTATATACAATTAATTAATGGTTTTTAAATTAAAGTGAGGGCCGCATCAAAATCTACCACGGGCCGCGGGTTGGACACCCCTACTCTACATCATACCCCTGACCTCTCTCTCTAGCGTTATCCATTAGTTTATAGGTCTATGGCTACTACCCACTTGTCTGTCCATAATATAAACAACAAGGTACCTATGATCGTAACTTTTTTACGGTCAGATCCTTTGGTAAGCACTTGACCCAGCGGCATATCTACGTAGGAGGGGGGGAGACCAAATTTTTTACACAATATAACTTCTATATAATAATATGTTTTTACTGAATGTCCATTAATAATTGTTTATCCCCCCTTGAAAAAATCTTAATACGCTACTGACGTGACGTAGGCTACGTATCGTAGTGTATAGTAATAAAAATTTAATTGACAATATTATGGTAATACGGGTAATCACTAAGCAAGTGACATATTGCATGGACTTAAACTAAGTCTGGACTTTTGAGATCATACCATGTGGTTTATACAATAATACTTATATCATGCGCCTGTCCTCTACCACCAATTGGTCGGTGACCAGTCTTGGTATTAAATACAAATAATACAATTTTAAATAATATGTGAAATCGGCCAATGTATAAAATCATAACCTACATTATAAAATGTTTACTGGTATCATGGTTGCCGGGTAGGTATAGATTATAAATTATAATTTCTAGTCATAAAATAATATAGATATTAGTAACTGCTAGATCAGCTGATTTGGTTTTTGACATTTTGTTTACTTGTGATTAAATGTCTAAACTCTGAACCATAGACCTTATAACTTATACCACGGACCAGAGGCGTATTTACGATTTTGGCGCCCTAGGTACACACATTTTGGCGCCCCTTTTTTTCTCAGTTTCCTTTTACTCATTGTCACAAAACACTTTTAAGCCCCCTCCAATTTACAAATATTATTTACAATCAAAAGTGCAGGGCTTGAAACCGGTATAAACCGTTATAAAACCGAAACCGGAAAAAATTGGATATCGGTATTAACTTCAAAACCAAAACCGAAAAAACTTGGATACCGGTATTATAATTAAAAACCCATACCTAATTGAAGCCAAAATCTAAAAAAATAAAAACCGGTATACAATATTGAAACCGAAACTGAAATATTTCAAGCCCTGTAAAAGTGATAACCCAAAATGTATATTTTCCCCTTATTGCATTTATGGTTCCATTAATTTAGAGAATTAATTTACATTATATATAGAAATATGTATAGAAATGTAAAATGTATAAGAAAAATCCAGGTTATCACTAATAAAATTTCTCAACAAATCCAATAAAATAAAAATACATTTTTTTTATGTTGTAACCTCTAGCGACGGCGCCCAGTGGTGGCATCTGGGGGGGGGCACGAGGGTGCAGTTGCACCCACAACAATTTTTCCTGTGGGGGCAAAAGTATTATTTTGCGCTCACAGAAAGACAACCACAACATGAAAAATATTAGATTATATTTTTAATAATTTATTTTTATTGTCAACAATGTATATTTATATAATGTAATATTTTGATAATAAATATTAAATAATCACTTCAAAGTTTTATATCTGATTACTCAATTAAATAATGCAGTAAGCTCTAATTCGTCACTAGATAGCGATATTGCACAAAGAAATTAGCTGTCTCCATGACTATAATATTATCAAAAGTTAATGATGTATGTTTTTTAAAATTTTTTTTTTTGTGTGTGTATACGATTAGTAGTCGAAAGAATGAATAGATTTTCAACTTCAGTATCATGTTCGATGGGAAAGTGAATCTAGTTGGTACTTTTGATAAGTCAAAACTTAAAATTCCCAATAGTTTTCATAAGCACCCGGAAAAACAAAATAAAAATTAAGGAAAAACGGGAATTTTCACTGAATGTTTATATTAGCCTTTCTACACATGAAAATTTTTTCAAAATATTTTGACTTGTTTTGAAATATTTACGGATATACTCAGTTTCTGACTTTTTTAGATTTTTTCCTATGAACGTCAATAAAACTTTATTTGTTGGGACAAGATTACTCATAAGTTTGTCTACCTTTATCAAAAACAAAAAACATCGTACCACGTTAGGTGATTGGTAAAAGAGTTGCCCTGTGTCGGATTGCCTACTATAGGGTGGCAGCAAGTTACACTAAAAAGTAGTTGAACAATCATAATTTTTTTAAGGTTTTAGATTTTTTATTGGTAATGAAGTGCACGGGTTCTGCTATAAAAATATATTTCCATTAATACAGCTAGAAACATGTCAATACGTTTTCATTAAACGTTTTTTATATTTACTTGCCGATCATATTAAACGATACAATTTGAATAAAAAATTATATCTACATATCGTCCTAAGTCAAAATAAACAACCAATCACGGACGATGTTTTATAAATTATCTACATTTAAATATAATAGTTTTATTATAAAATAAAATTGTGTTAGAGATAGCCAACACAAAAATGTATAGAAATAAAATTTAAATTATAATTGCAACTGAAAATTAACAGCTATCACAAGTAAATAATTTTGAATATTAGTAGTATTTGGTTAGGTTGGGTCAAATGTTGAAGTTCATTTTAGATTCTGAGCGGAGCAAGGAAGCTAGTGGTTTTACAATGGTGTTTATTATTTTTTTTTATTTTTTTTTTATATCCTGTATACAAAATTTCTACCAGAAGGAGTGCTTTGATTTCAACATATAGTACCTTATCTTTTAACAAATTGGACCAAGATGGTACTTTAGAGAGGTCATTTTTCGATTTTCTCAATAGTTATTTAATGCCACGGGAAAAAGTACTGAAAAGTTACGAAAAACAGCTTAAAATGGGATTTTAATTTCTAACAATTTGTTTATCACCGTAGCAACGAATAAAAAAAATAATAATTAAATAAATAAAATAATTAATGACAATATAAAATATACAGACTGACAAACCGTCTCCGTTCAGAATCGTTTTCCTTATACAATGATATTATATCATTGAATTCAAGTTTAATACAATCC